GGTAAACTGATCATCATGATCAGGACTGATACTGTTCTGCAAAATAAAACATCTGGAGCTACTGTTTTTGTCTGTTAAGGTAAAAATTCAGTCGATCAACTGATCCAATTAATTGATGGTTTAATTGAATTCATGCTTTTCAAGCAAAAATACCAAAAGTTTGATGGTTGCAGCTTAGTATATCACTGCATATTGATTATCTTTTGGGTTTTGGAGTACTGCTCTGGCAAAATGAGATATTTGTTCATGTGACCATGAGCTCTGGGAAACTTTGGTGGATCATTTTTTAATGTTAATAATAATAATAAAAAGAATTGCAAGTTATAGTTTTATATTAACATCCTGCAGCATAATGTACAATCCACATTTGTCCAGATAAATGTAAAACATCCCATTTACTTCTCGCCTTTGTTGGGTTGAATAAACAAAACTTAGTTAAATAAAAAAAAATATGCTTTGAAATTAATATCTCATAAAACAAATGCCTACATTTATAAAGTCATTCTGAAGTTTTATGTGGATACTCTGCAGAGTAATGTAGGCATCACAACTTCAGGATACTTTTAGAAAACTGTAAATTAATACCTTTTTAATATCATTCTAGAAAATCTGATAATCTATAGACTTCAACAGTTTGAAATTTTATGAAGAATTTGTTCTGAACATGTGTTTGTAGCCTATGTCCAAAGAAATGATAACCCCGTGTAAACTGAGTCAGTGTGAGTTTGCTGTCCACTCCATTCCTGTCAGAAGGGACTGCTGCTCCACTGGCCTAATATCACTCTAATAGCAGGCCCTCTTGACACTTGCATTAAAGCCCTCAGCCATGCTGGACATTAGCCCGCATTAAGTTCCGTAAAAAAGCTGATTTGAGGAAGAGCAGCTGAGAGGAATTCCTTCTCGCTTTAATTGCTTTAGAAACGGTTCCCACAAAGAGACACTGGCCAGATTTACCTCCAGTTTAAGTTCTTATTTCCATCGGTTCACAAGTTAATCCGATTTTTTTCTCCTCTAGGCCCAAATGCTCTGCGGTTATACGGACAAAAGAGAAGAAAACATAACGTGGGGATTAAAAAAACAGACATTAGAAAATTATCATTATTATTATTATTATTATTGATCGTTGCATTCACTAAACCACTAGATAGCCACTTGTTGCTTGAAAACTTCCTCTAAACTCATTCCTTTCATTTTGTTGCTTTCATATTTTGGATTTTTCCAATTGTATAAGAAGCCAAATTAAAAAATCAAGAGGACACCACTTGAACGAAGTGAACTTTGGGTGAAGGCGTTGAGGTATAAGAGTATCACATTTTCTTCTCACGCAGACTGTTGTCAGGAGTGTGAAGTTCTGCAAATGAATGTGGCCAAAGATCAAATTGAGTTTAGGATTTTAAACCCCCCCTCCAGCACCCCACCTTCCTCTTTCTCTCTCGCTCTCTCGGAGAAAATTCAACAAAATATGCAAGCTTTACATTAAAAGGCTACTTTTCGATGCCCTTAATTCCAGCCTAAACGGTTTTTCTTCGGGAGAAGAAATCTTTTCTAAAAACCTTGAAGAAGAGAGGGGCATTATTGTTTTAATCCTCTTACCAGCAGTCATTTTAAGACATTTTTTTGGAGGGTGAAATGGCGTCTTGTCTACCCAATCCTAACCTAAATCCCTCGGGGCCGGGGAGCTGCTGGAGGCAGCAGTGTAGCCCAGCCTGCATCTCTCCATCTCAGCTGCATTCCCACCAAACATGCAGTCACACCGAGGCAGGAGGAAAATAAAATTAAAGCACGGTATTAACCTGAAAGTCACCGTGCGCAAGTCACTGCAGAAGAGTGGCACAGGCCAGTCACTTACTATGTGCACATCATTTAATTAAGACGTGTATTATTAATCTTTTTTTTTTTTTTTGGCTGAATTTAGGAATTAATGAGTTGGAGTTTCCTTTTTAAAAAAAAAGCTCTCAATTCTTAGACACCGAAGATCTACTGAAACAAATATTATAATCTAATATTCTGTTTTTTAGATCAAAATTGTAGTTTTGTGACATTTGTAATGATTGTTTACACCTAAATTAAATCCAAAAAGCCTATAACATACAAATAGCTTTTTAATACAATGTGAATGTGGATAAAGGTTTCTTAAATTATTAAAAGCAGGTAACGGTATGCAGTATTTTATATTCAAATATCCTATTATAAGAAATCCTTTAAAAAAATAAATAAAATTTTTTAAAAATGCCCTTTGACCTCGCTTTAGCTCATATTGGAGGCACATTTCAACCCTGAGATATTAAAAATATCAAAGAAATAATAATTAAGGCCAAGGCTGTTACATAATTGGGAATACCTTTAAAAAAGCATCTTGTCATGCTGACATTTGTTTAATTTAGTTTCAAAGCATTAAGAGAATTTGTTATTTAGGCTGAACCCTGATCTAGCGTCAGTCTGCATCCCCAATAAAACACATTATCATTATTATTATCACCCCCACAAATAACAACAGAGGGCTTAATAACAATAATTAGAATGATGACCGTCATTTTTTTTGCAGAAAAACAAAATATATAAAAATACAAAAATGTTTTGTTTTTTTTCCCCCTTCCAAAACAACAACAGCGGCAGCAGAAAAGTCGGCACCTTCGGATGCAGAAAAATGATCTATGAAGTGCAGAGTGCAGTGAGGGAGGAGGGCGGAGGGGCTGTGAGGAAGGGAAGCGATGTGATTGGCACAGAGAAGGAGTGTGTGAGCGCCCCGGTGACCCCACCCTGAGCGCTTTAAAGGCCGGTAGATGGCAGCTCAGCATCCTCCCACATCCACAGAGAGGAGAGCCGGAGGACGGAGCGGAGCCACCGGGATATTGTCAGGATATCAAAGTGAATGAGAAAAAGATAATAAGGTGAAAGGAGAAAAAAATGAACGACTGCGGATTTTAGAGAAGAAGATTTGAAGGAAAATATTCGGCTGCCGGTGGAGATATTTCGCGTCAGACGCACACACAAAGAGAAGAGAGGTAAGAAGTTTGCGAATTAGCTCCGAGCAAGTTATTTTAAAACTGTAAATAACTGCTTTACGGGTGTATTCTTTCCTTTTTCTTTGTTTTTGTTTTGTTGCATTTTGGTGTTTGTTATCGTGGAGTTTTGTTTGTCATCCAAACTCCATGAAGTCTTGGACAAAATCGCTTTCAACAGTGCAACAGTGCACTGAGGTCTCCACCATCTCTGGTGATACAGCAGCTGAACAATGCGACTATCTGCTGCTTAAAGTTATAGTCGATTAAAAGTATGAAAGCGTTCAAAGTTTTTCAGTAACACCGACAGTTATGAGGCTGCAAATTACACAAATACACATTCTCACTTAGGCACATTTAAACATTGTTTAATACGATTTTAAAGACGGTGTTTTTGTTTTTTGTTTGCAGGTTGTTTATTGACCATAGATTATCCTCATCCACGTCCTGTGTCGTTTCACTTTCTGCATGCTGCTGAATTGATGCCATGCATACACAGCTCCGGCCCCAAGGCAATCTTTAGGAAAAAGCTGTATAACTCATAAATCCACGGCAATTAGCATAATTAGGCTTAAATCAGAGCCCGAGGCTGTGTGACATTGTCCTGAAAGAACTGCGTTATGTTGAATTTTTAAGCTGCAGATTTAAAAAAAATCGAACAGATTACACGAATCCAGCCAGAGGCTGATTTGGTAAAATAATGCAATGAAAGTACTTAGACCTACATGGGAAAAAGAAAATGTTATTGCATTAGTCACACGTTTTGATCACACACACACACACAGTAGCACACAGGCTGGCCCATCTTTCACGTGTCAGGCCTGATGATAAATTAATAGCCTTGTTGGAACCTATTTGCACCCACATTAGACAGGACCCCAACTGGGGATCCCGGGCATATTTCACTGAAGACCTGTCACACATCTCCGTCAGCCTGCAGGCGTCTGAGACTGACCTGGGACCCGCCACAGATTGAAATAAACGGCCCCCCACTCGAGTCAAACTCTCAGGGAGCAAAGTAAATATTTGGTCGCACCTGCTGTCAGTGCAGCCTGCGGAGCTGTAAGAGCGCACAAAGGCAATGCTTTCAATTAAAACCTCTTCAGACTGAATTTAATGTGCTTGTAGACGGTGAAATTAAACAGCGAAATGGTCAGGTTTCCTTTCATTGGACGTGGACGGGGAAAATGTCTGTACCTATTTATTACTTATACCTGCCTGATCAATAATGTATATTATTATTATTATTATTATCATTATTATTATTATTATTATTATACATTTATATAGGCATTTATATAGGAATTTTTATTCATCTCAATTGTGGACCATGATGAACAAATAAATGTATACATATAACAATATCAAGAAAGGGCCACAAGTATTTGTATTTAACAGTTGAAGTAGGCCTATTCTCCTCTTTTTAAGTAATTGTAAATTACTACATTTAGGCTGCCTTTCATTGCTGATTGGAAATGACAAAATATTTTGAATCAACATTTTTTTTCTGCACACCTCCGTTTACTATTATCTTATAGTTAAATCTGTCAGACAATTATTCAGTGTTGGGCTGTAGGTTCATAAAAATATGATTTCTTTCTTAAAGCTTTGATCAGATGGTAATTATAAATGTTTCTCCTACTTTAAAAGTTTCCAAGAAATTTTTTTTTCCTGAACTCCGCACTTTTGTGGACAAACCCTCCGTGGGAAGACACCGTTTAAGTGTTCCGTTTCATTTTACTTAAATGTAATCCAACTGGATCTAACAACACACAAAAAAAAACATTTATTTCAAATGAATTATTTTTCCTTTGGAGCGCAGTCGTTAATTCTCGTATTTCACCTGTTGCCATTTCAATTAATCAGGTTACACTATAATAAAGGGCAATTAAGTTTTTACCAGGGCTACGACTCGCAAACAGACTGCTTTGTTCAGTAAACAGGACACTGACACTCACAGCAGCTCGTCTCTCTCTCTCTGCAGACAGCTCGCCGGTCATGCAGCACTACGGGGTGAACGGCTACTCTCTGCACGCCATGAATTCACTGAGCGCCATGTACAACCTTCACCAGCAGGCGGCGCAACAGGCCCAGCATGCACCTGACTACAGGCCTTCAGTGCATGCCCTTACTCTTGCAGAGAGACTGGCTGGTAAGAATCAGTTGCTTATTTTGTTGTTTAACTGTGTATTAACACAAATTCAGTGTGCGTTGATCTCTGGGTGACCTTTGACCCGTCCTTCAATTAAACTGGTCGTGTTTCTTATTTCTCAACGGCTGCACATTTCAAGACATTATCCTTGAGGCCCGGTATGGCTCCCAGCACCGAAAGCAGCGGCGCAGTCGGACGGCCTTCACCGCCCAGCAGCTGGAGGCCCTGGAGAAAACTTTCCAGAAGACCCACTATCCTGATGTGGTGATGCGGGAACGTCTGGCCATGTGCACCAACCTGCCTGAGGCACGCGTTCAGGTAAAAAAAACCCCCTTAGAATGCAGTTTAAAGGCAAGAGAGTAAACTTAAAGGTAATCTTGTGCCATTAAAAGTGATAATGGACAGGCAAGGTGCTGAAAAGTGTGAAGACAATGCATTCACTGATCTGTCTCTCCATCCATCTGCCAGGTCTGGTTCAAGAACCGCCGGGCCAAGTTTCGTAAGAAGCAGCGCAGCCTGCAGAAGGAGCAGCTCCAGAAACAGAAGGAGGCATCCGGAGCTGCAGAGGGCTCTACAGAGGACTCCAAGACTGACCTCACCACCACCAATGCCACCACTACCACCCTGGTTCCTGAAGCCCACACTCCTCCCCCTCCCTCCTCTTCCTCATCCTGTCACTCAGAGACAGAGAGGCTGGCAGCCGCACGGCCCCAGCCTGGAGAGATGAGCGTGGAAGTCAACGTCACCTCCCCTGAGCCATCGGACAGCGAGTCAGCAGCGGAAGATAATGCTGACAGAGAGGAGGACGAAATGAGAGGGGAGACAAGGGTGAAGATCAGGGAGGAGACGCAAGGGGAGGGGGGAGCGCAGCCGGGGAGCAGCTCTCCATCCTGCAAACGGCTGAGCCCCACGTCAGGTAAAAATATCACAGTCTAATGAGTGCAGCTACTTTTCCTGTTACACTCCCGATTATACATTTAAGAATCTTATCATAGATGGATATTCTAACTGAATTGGTGTTTACAGGATAAACAAAAAAAAATCGATGCAAGAGTGTGTTGACACATACTAACGTCCTCCTTCTCTCTTCCTGTCTCTCAGACTCTCCCTTGAGCTCCCCCGCCTTGCCGTCCTCCAGTAGCGTGACCAGCAGTTTGGCGCAAAGCAACTCCTACGCTTCATCTCCTCTCAGCCTCTTCCGGCTGCAGGAGCAGTTTCGTCAGCACATGGCCGCCACCAACAACCTGGTGCACTACCCGTCCTTTGACATGAGCACGCCGTCCTCTCTGCCCTACCTGGGCATGAACGTCAACATGCCGTCCCCTCTGAGCTCGCTGCCCTGCCAGTCCTACTACCAGACCCTGTCACAGGCCCAGCAGGTATGGAACAGTCCGCTGCTGCAGGCGGCGCCAGGCAGCCTCCCTGGAAGCCTCAACAGCAAGACCACCAGCATTGAGAACCTCCGTCTGAGGGCCAAGCAGCATGCAGCCTCGCTGGGATTGGACACACTCCCCAACTGAAGCTCAGGCTGCTCAGTCCTCATGTGTTCGCCCTCTAGTCAGGGCCGTACCTATGAATTATGGGCCCTGTCAACAGGAGGTGACTCTGGGCCCCCCTTCGCTTTCCTTTTGACCACTCTCACCACTGTCAGCAACTATGGGTATCCATCCAAAACTCAGACACATCTCCAAAAACTCATCCGAAATATCCCAGATTTACCCAATTGGCTGTCATGATTTTAAAAATCCTCTGTTGTTGTACAATGTTTTCTTTGCAGTTTTCTCGATTTCAAATAAAGCCAATTTCAAAACCAGAGCGGCGTGACGAACAGTAGAAACACCACAAGCCAAAAAATGTGTTTTAGAGCTGGCACTTTAATTTGGGGCTCTCAGTTGTCGACACACGTATTCCCCTTCACATCATCATCATTGTATGGGCGCGCAGCTCGACGCCGGGGAACACACCAGAGCATGACGGACACCTCTGCTGGATAGACTTAACAGAAAATAAGATTAGAACAAGAACTCAATGGACTAAATGCAACAAAAAAAAATCCCACCTGGACTGCAGTTGTAACTGAAATGTACTTTTTGCCTGTGGATTTTTGCTTGTATTCGACGACTCCTGGTCAACAGCATAAGCCAACTCTGCTAAAGCTAGCTGCTCACTATGTTTTCAGCCTTCTCTGTGACGTCAGGACAGGAAGTCTTAAACTGCAGAGCTGTCAGTCTTATTCCAGGACAGATATAAGATATTAAAATATTCTATAACTCAACCCCTGAACGTGAACTATGCATGCATGCACCCCTCTGAAGCATGGCTTACAGCCGCAAGACACAGAATGAAGTCACATCAGATCTGATATCAGAAATAAAGCTCAGATCATGCAATATAATCCCACACACGACTCCTTGTTTAAAGTTACAGCACTCATCTTAGCCTGCAAGAATCCATTGAGCGTTGTAAATACAGTAGCCCTCAGTGTTCGCCTCCATCTGCCTGGCTAAAGAGTAACTCCATGTCTCCTTTTGTGTGAAGGATTTGAGTGGAAATACATTTTTTAATTGTGGCTTTAAGCAAAGGACCTACAGCAGAGGCACAGTGACAAATAAATGTGAACCCAGCAGACATTTTTGTTCACTCGGGTGCCAGAACTCAACAGAGTCACCACTTTTTCTGACCCACTGGCTTCAGCAGAAAGACGCACAGGCCCATTCTCTATGTATATCACTGTAGATTCAAGACATGTATTTCTCAATTGTTTAAAATGTGAGTAATTTATCTGTTTAATGCAAGGGAATAAATCACACCTAAGAATGACTCATGCTCTCAGTGTCGTCGGTTGAAAATATAAGATGAAAATATCTGCTTGTACTGACTCACATTGCCTCATTTTGCCATTTTACAAAGCAAAGAGGAAGTTTTAATCGAAGACAAAAACTAGCAATCGTTTGTTACTAAAAATGTACAAACAAAAACAAGGCTTTTTTTGTACAAAAGTCGTTAATTTAGATATGTCTAGTTGAATTGAGGAAATAGAGACACCCTATATGAATATCATGAAAAAAATCCCACTTTCTTAATGGCAGATTTCTATTTTTTTTGTAGATTTCTGAATTGTTGGACCTTTATCAGCTCAAAGGTGAGTCAGAATGAGACCAGACAATCCGTCTAGATCGTGAACCAGAAATTATCACATAGCAGGACATACAACCGACATGCACTCACACACAGGCCTTTAAAAAAGACCCCAAAACATTTTCTCAAAGTTTCTCGAGTGAGAGGAAGTTGGCAACAAGCGAGGGATTAGTTTAGGGTGTGCTGAATCCAGCTCCTCTCTGGATGGCTGACAGCACTGAAAGGGACTGACAGAAAACTGAATCTTAATAAACAGTTTTGATTTCCACGCACATTACCTCCAACCCTTTATAGTAAAAATGTAAGTTTGGTTAATATGTTCCACTGAGGACACCTTGATGAACCATAAATAATTTAGACACAGGAGGTCTACCATTCTCGATGGTGAGGTTTACATACCACATACGGGAGAACCTGCCACTTGTTCACCCAGTGCAGAATAACTAATCCTAAATGAAATGACTGAAGCCCAGTGTCAGGCTCTAAAGAGTCTCCAATCCACCACCCACCCACCTACCCTTCACTCTCTCTCTCTCTCTCTGCTCCCCTCTTCCCCCACCCTGTCAGCCAAGGTTTGGCTGCACCGAAACAGAATGCTTTGCCATAAGAAGATTACCTTTGGTTGGGATATCGATGGATTAAGTAAGAATAGAATGAGATAAAATAGGACTGAAAGGGTTCCTGGAGTCAGCAAAGTTCAGACACCTGTTTTTTTTAGGTCTTTTCCCGCTTCCTTGCTCCATGACCGTAAAGATTATATCACTGTCTAACTGGAGAAAGGAAGGTGAGAGGGGTGGGTGGTTTAGTATGGGGCAGGTTACAGTGCATTAAAATATTTCTGGGGCTGTAAAGACAATTCTTACAGATGCCTTTGGGTATTTTTCATGCATACTTTTTAAATATGTGGTCAATTTTTCATGAACGTCTGGGTTTTGCGTGTTCATAACGATCATATGGGTGTAAGTTAATGTGAATGCTGT